GCCAGGCAGGGTGTGGAGCGAGGCTCTGAGGACCTGAGATGCACAGGACACCCACGCAATGGGTGGGGCCTGCCTGGCAGTGGGGTCTATCAGGGGATCCCTAGGACGGGGTTCATGGGTATGTGTTGGGTTGGGGGGGAGGGCAGGCAGCAATTCCAGTCCCACACAAGTCTCACCTGGTGCGGTGCACTGCTGCTGCTGCTGCTGTGGCTATTAATCATGACCCTCAATGGTAAGTCAGGGAGCAAATAGTCATTGTCTACTGTCTGGGCATGGTCCCCCTTCAAAGGGCATTTTCTCTCCTTCGATGTCAGTGTATTTTCTTGGAGAAGCCGACAGTCACCATGCTTAGCTGCTAAATTAAAAGTTGCTGGTTCAAGGACACCCAGAGGCACATCAGAAGACAGGCGCTGTGACCTACTCCCCCCCAAACTGGCTACTGGCAAGCATGGGGAGCACAGTTCTCCTCTGGCACCCCTGGAATGGCCCTGAGTGGGGGACAAGATGCCTGCGCAACTAGCTTGGTTTGGGCGTTTATCACAAGTTCACAGTACACTTCCAGTAATTGTCTGCTTCCTGTTCTACCCAGGGGAACATGAGGGGAAGGTAACTGTGCCAGGCCTTTCTGCAGTGCCTAGAACAGTGCCTAGCACTTAGCCGGTATCAGGGAAATATTTGTGGAGGCAAAGATGTCAGGGAGCAAAAAGAAGTGATGCCCAAAGGCACCGCAGGAGCTTCCCAGAAGCCCCTTGTTTATGTGTCAGTCCCTAGCGTGGCCCAAAGTTGCTACAAGTCATCTTGTGTTAACCCTTGCTTCATAGTGTCTCTGGACTACAGGGCCATGCTCCCCATCCTGGATACACTGCCTGTTGCAGCCTATGCGCCAAAGAAATGTCACACACACCCGAACACCACTGACAGCGGTGATGTGATGCCACGTCCCAGGGTCCAGCATTTGTTCATCCAGCATCGTGTGGGCCAACTGGAAGCCTGGCCCCCGGTCAAGTGCCCTGCTAGTTCTGTAGCTGTAGCGGCACAGAGAGGGTGAGGCATTGTTTGACTGAGGTGGGACTCGACTGGGGACAGGAAAGGGAAATGACGACGAGCTCATATGACTGAGGAATGAGTGACTCTGAACCCAGGGGCTATCACCATTGTACAAGATAAGCCCCTCGCCTCACCGCATTGCGGCCTCTTAGGGTAAAAATAGGGGATTGAGTTACCTCCATGGAAGTTTCCCTAACCCACCCACAAAAATATAACCACAAAAGACTCGTGGCTTTTCATGGAAGCCACACTTTCCAGAGCCCTGGAGGCTGGAGGAATCCCTAGCCTGCCATCTTTAAACCTTAAACCAAAGATTTAAGATCACCTTTAGCCTGAGATCTTCTTTAAACCTTACATCAAAAAGGGCCCCTGATGTCGTCTCAAAACCAAACAGCAGTCGAGCTCCACTCGTACAACACGTGCCATGAGCTCTGTGCTCACTTGAGGTGGGTCTCAATGTAGTGGACAACAGCACCCCAAAAGATTCGACTGGGACCCATAGGAGACAGTGACTTTCTGTTGGTGGGGGAAGGGCCAACTCAGTAAAGGCGGCTGAGAATGACCCACACGTGTAGAAACGGTTGGACTTGAGTAGGTTCGATGCATATTCTCAACAACAACAACAACAACTAACAATAAGAATCAAATCAAATAAACCACAGGCCAGGACTGAATTTCTTCTTTGGCCCAACATGATTTTATTTGCTCTCTGCATAACATCCCTAGGTTTCTGAGGCCTATTATATACAGAGCAAAATCCTCGTCCCCAGAACAAGCAGGAGAATGATGAGACCTTGAGTCTCCGCTGAGCACGATTCTGTGTCTTAGGAGGAAGGAGGCATGTTGATCTCCCAGCACAGGCCAGAGAAATGAATGGCCCCCAAACCGTCTTTTCACTCCAAAGGTGCAAGTCTTTCCAGCTCCTTGGAAGCTTTTCAACCATCCTCAGCGTGGAAGCTGAGCTTGGCCATCTTCTCCCCCACACACCTACGTGGGCGAAGGCTCTCCTGCAGGAATGGTTCCCCTGACTTTTCCTGGAATTGTCTACTCTGCAGAAGCTAAACTCAGAGACCGGAGGTCCTGCCGGGAACTCCAGGGTCCAGGGCACTACAAGGGGGAGGATGCTACTCGGGTCACGGACTCTCGTCACTTCCCTTCTGGGTTCAGCATTTCCCCCTCAGGTATGAGAGGGCCTGCTGGCAGGAAGCCTGGACGGCTGAGACCAGGAAGGCTGGCTCACTCATCCTCATCCTCATCTTCCTCCTCGGTGTCTTTGTTGGGGGCACACCGGTGGAAGCACTGCACCGCCGTGGCTAGGAAGAAGCTGGAAATGATGGCGACGATGGACACGGCCACGCCCGAGAAGATGATGATGAAGAGGTCGGTGAGCGAGAGGCTGAACTTGCACGCGCTGAAGCTGCCCTCCGACAGCTCGTGCAGGGAAACCCTCCTGTTCTCCACGGGCAGCGAGCACTGGATTTCACCCAGGCCTAGGAGAAAGGAGAATAAGAGAGAGGTTTACGTCGCAGTATCAACACCGAAAAAACCGAACTCACTGCCAGTGAGGCATTGCCGACTCACAGCGACCCTACAGGGCAGGGTAGAACTGCCCCTGTGAGTTTCTGAGACCATAACTCTATTTTTTTTTTTTTTTGAGGTGACAAACTCTGTTTTATTTTTTTATTTTTTCCTCTTTTTCAACATTTTATTAGGGGCTCATACAACTGTTATCCCAATCCATACACACATCAATTGTGTAAAGCGCATTTGTACATCGTTTCTCAAAACATTTTCTCTCCATTTAAACCCCTGACATTGGGTCCTCATTTTTCCCCTCCCTCCCCGCTCCCCCTTCCCGCATGAACCCTTGATAGTTTATAAATGGGTATTTTGTCATATCTTGCCCTGTCCAACGTCTCCCTTCATCCACTTTTCGGTTGTCTGTCCCCCAGGGAGGAGGTCACACACAGTTCCATGTAATCGGTTCCCTCTTTCCTACCCATTCTCCCTTTACCCTCCCTGTTTTGCCACTCACACCACTGGTCCTATAGGGCTCATCCGTCCTGGATTCCCTGTATTTTCAGTTCCTATCTGTACCAGTGTACCTCCTCTGGTCTAGCCAGTCTTGCAAGATCGAATTCGAGTCATGGTAGTGGGAGCGGGGAGGAAACCTTTAGGAACTAGAGGAAGGTTGTATTTCTCATCATTGTTACATCGCACCCTGACTGGCTCATCTCCTCTCCGAGACCCCTCTGCAAGGGGATCTCCAGTGGCCTACTAATGGGCTTTGGATCTCCACTCCGCACTCCCCCCATCATTCACTAGAGACCATAACTCTTGATGGGAGTAGAAAGCCCCATCTTTCTCCCTCACATTGGCTGGTGATTTTGAACTGCTGACCTCAAGGTTAGTGGCCCCACGTGACACCACTATGCCACCAGGGTTCCTACAGCTACAGTTACAGGAGTGCCAGAAAGTCCACCAAGAGTGCCCTTACAAAGCCAGCAAAGCAGGAGTGCGCTTCCCACCCCATGACAGTTGAGTGAAAGGAATTGAGGCTTTCTGTAAGAGTCACCGTGGGATAGAATCACCCTGGGAGCCATCAGAAGGCATTGTTCTTCCTTGTCCTGCTTTAAAGTTCAGTGCTGTTCTGTTTGGAGTCCTCGAGTGATGCCAACAGCTAACGAGCCTGGCAACTATCCAAAAGGTTGGAGATTCCAGTCTACCCAGCGGTGCTTTGGAAGAAGACATGGTGATGTAATTCTGAAAGACCCGCCCTTGAAAACCCCATGCAGCCGGCTCTACTCTGATGCTCGTGGGGTCACTGCGTGTCTGTGTCAATGGGAGGGTTCCTGGGTTCCTGTTCGGATTTCCAGTGCCTCAAGGTGGTGATGGAAGCACGCCATGATTGCCTTAGGGTAGAAGATGCCTGTCGGTCCTAGTCCAGATCTGGGTCATGGGGGTGGGACATAGGGTAGAGGTGGATGCAGTGGATGGAGCCGTGCTAACAATGGAAGGACCCTCCAGTTTGTGGCAGTCATTCCCCAAGTTGGAGGCCACTACCCTTTTCATGGTCTTTGCAGCAAAAATGAACAGAGGGACAGTGGAAACTGGGCCACACTGAGAGGAGTCAGTGGAGGAGAAGGGTATAATTGAAGGGGACGTTTTAACAGCCCTCCCGGAGCTGGCTCTCACACTTCCACATTCTCAAGAATCACCTGAAGGCTGGCTAGAAGTCAGGGTCTCGGGCACTGCCCGGGATGACCTGATATCCCCAGGTGATTCTGGGACTGCTGGTCCAGCGGCACACTTGGTGTTGTTGAAGGAGGGTATGGGCGTGTTACAGCGTCTAGGAAGACCCTTCTACTCTGTCTTGTATCTTGGGGTTCTTTTTAAGATTTCATTTGAAGATCGTTGGCGTTAAGCTTCCAATCCTGTCTTCGAGAAAAACATCACAGTGGAGTGTGCTGAGTAAGTGTTTTCTCACCACAGCCTGAGAGAACTCACCAGTGTCCCGACAGAGCTCTAAACACTTCGTAGAGGTAAAGTCATGCAAGCCTCCCAATAAGCCCACGGAGAAGGCCTTTGATACAGTGCCAATTTTACAGTCGAGATTAGTAAAGCTCAGGGAGATGAGCTCCCATGCTCAAAGCCACGCAGTTGTCAGTGGCAGAGCCTAGGCTCCAATCAAGCTAGCTGGCTCCAGAGACAAAGGAAGGCCCTGCCCAGCTAGGCGAGACAGCCAGGAGAGGAGCCAGGAGAGGAGGAGAAAGAAGCGGAAAGCTAGCTAATGCTTTCCTGCCATGGGGGCCTCTACATGGAACATGGAGGAAGCTAGAGGTGCTGCAGGCCACCTGGTGGTGAGGAGTGTGGCTCCTAGGGAATGAGGATTGTAACTCATGACAATTCTGAATTAGCTCCAATAACTGTTCTTGGACAGCTAAGTGTTGCTGTTGGAGTATTCCATTCTGTCTGCCCTCGAGCGAGGTATTGGGAAGCTCTGAGCATGGCAGCTGGGGGAATTGTGCATGCTCCAGTCTACAGGTGGGCCTGCCCATGAGCAGGGATAGTTCCCTGGGCATTCCTTTATGCCTTAAACCAATGTGTATTGAAGACTTAGCCGATGCCAAGGGATTAATAAGAAACAAGACAAATATAGCCCCTATCCTCAGAGAGTACAAGGTCCAGTGGGAAGGGGACATTCATTTATGCACCAAATGCTTATTTAGTATTTACTATGTTCTAAACCCTCAGATTTTAAAAGGCAAAGACATCAACAAAAGACATGAGCTTTATTGCATTAACACACTAATGACTGCTTGTTACCAAGCTTAAGCTACCCATCCTGCTACGCAATATAAATGTCATACGCTCTCAAGCACTAACCCACCAAGGCGGAGAGTATTGGATATGTCTCCAGGGAATTGGGAGTGTGAGTGCAGACCCCACCATGACACACCAAACCTTGAGGGAATGTAACCACATGGAGCAACTCATGAACAGAGTGAGATACAGGGCTGGCCCCAATCAGAGCCAAACTGATCCCCTCCCTGGAAGTATGTGCTACATAGGACAACACTAAACCTGCAGGTTGGGGAGAAGAGCCAGTCTGCCAAGCCCACACAGTAGCAAACCAAAAAAGAAAGAGAGAGATTGAGGGACGAGATCCCATACTGGCACACCAAGCCCTGAGGATGAGGTCCCTGCACGGAGCTGGTATGGTGCAGAGAAGACTGTAGGGCCAACAACAGCTCGAGACATGATGTCCCCTTGCAGAAACATACTGCAACAGAGGACAATACTGGGGCACATGGTGAGGAATAAGTCCAGTCCCAACCCCCCACAGCAGGGCAAACCCAAAAGGAAATATAACAGATCAGCAACGGGAGCAAAGGAAAGCCACAAAGTCCCCGAGGAGTCCCCAAAGTAGACCTCAGGCTAGGAGGGACAGTTCCTGGAACCCCCCCAGGACCAATGGGGAGATAGTCATAAAGGTCAGAGGACAGACCTGGAATTATCTATGCTTTTTCAGGTTTTTATTTGCTAGTTAATATATATTAATATATTGTATTATTATAGATAATTATATTATATGTAATATTATATATTAATATAATTTTCTTTTTCTTCTTTTTGTTGAATTTTTTGTTTTCTTTTTGTATTGTCTACATTATTGTCTACATTATACCTATAGACGATAGGCATGGAAAGCAAGCCTAAGGAGAAAGCAACCAGACCGAAGGTTCTGGAGGGACTTAGGGGGAGGAGGCGGCAGGGGAAAGGAGCGGTGAGCACACAACGCCATAAACAGGGGAGCAACTACTGGGGAAGTAAAAGCAACAATGGAGGATGTAGAGATCCTGGTGGTGTTAGAGCAACAGCAATCTAGCTGAGAGGAATTACTAAGAGACAGAAGGGAGAGCGTGATCGTGGGAAAGGAGGAAGGTAAAAGGAAACAGAAAAGATCTAAGAAGCAAAGCTATGGATAGAGGTCTAAACATAGGCATGCACTTGTGTAAGTATATTAATTTATAAAAGGAGAGGTATTGGCCTATGTACATATACATATGGCAATACATTGAGGACGTGATGGACATTGGACCTCTGCCCAAGCCCTCCCTCAATGCAAGAACACTTTGTTCTAACAACCTGGTATTCTGTGATGCTCACCCTCCCAGCATGATCGCCGAAGATAAAATGGGTGCACAAGCAAATGTTGTGAAGAAAGCTGATGGTGCCCAGCCATCAAAAGATAAAGCATCTTAAAGACTTGAAGGTAAACAAGCGGCCATCTAGCTCAGAAGGAGCAAAGCCCACATGGAAGAAGCACACCAGCCTGTGTGATCATGAGGTGTCGACGCAATCAGGTAACAGGTATCAGAAGACCCAAAACAAACATATTGTTGAGAACAATGGGGGTTGGGGCAGAGGTCCAAAACCCATCTGTAAACAATGGGACACCCCCTCACAGTAGGGTCACAAAGAAGGGATGAGTCAACCAGGGTGAAGTATAGCACTGATGTCCTCTGGTTTCTTGAGGCTTCCTCACTAACAACCCCCCCCCCTCACTATCATGACCCCAATTCTGCCTTTCACTACGGACTAGGCCAGAGCATGTACACAGGTACAGATAAACGCTCAGGAAAGACAGAATCCAGGTCAGATAAACTCCTCAGGAACAGAAGTGGGAGTAGCAATGCCAGGACGGTAGGGGGAAGTTGGGCAGAGGAGGCGGGAAAGAAGCCGAGGGGGAAGGGAGATAGCAGTTGGTGTAAGATGTGAAAATAATAATATGACTTTTCCAAGCCTCCCATAGAAGAAAATGAGTAAAATGAAATGCTCGGACCTCCTGTTTCTGATCTGACAGTGCAAAGACACATAGCAACTAAGACTTCCGTTGCCCATAAGATGGGTCAGGCATTCTTCTAAGTGTTGTGCCCCTTAGTTGTACCTTAGGGGACCACTTAACAAGCTTTTTTTTTTTTTCTTT